GATGAAGTGTCAGCTCGCATACAGAAGGCTCGGTTGGCATTTGCCAACTTTGGATATCTGTGGAGACGTCGCGACATCTGACTGTCTGTGGAGAATCGAGGGTATTCTGCAGCAGTTTTGCCAGTCCTGTTCTACGGTGCAGAGACTTTTTCTCTAAAGGAACAGGATAAAAATAGATTGTCGGTGTTTGAACACCGCTGTGTACTTCGCATTGCACTAGTCTGGTGGTGTAATCGGACGAGCAATGCTGAGGTTAGGGGCAGGGTTTTAGGCAGTCACGGTCGTCCGCCGGAGCGGGTAGTCGATTTCCATAGATCACGTTGGTTGGGGCATGTGTTACGCATGTCACCAGATAGGTTGCCACGACGAGCGATGTTCGCCGATGAAGGGATTTTGTCGGAAAAAAGGTCAAGGGTAGTCAAACAAAGACCTGGCCTGAGGGTATGAAAACCCTAACGAGGAGACACATAGGTCACATAGGTCACATAGGTCCCGTTAGGCTCCCTGAATGGGGACCCCGAGATCATGGTCAGTGATGGCTAGAGACGCTGAGCGATATGGTTGGGAGTCGTAAACAGTGCTGTTCGCGTTTGTTCTCAATTTCTTTGCAAAATTAGCTCACTGAAATTCTCAATTTTATGATAGATTCTACTTTCAACCTTCCTGTTTATCTCCTACTGTTCATCCAGATGGGCAGCTTAAAAACGGCAAAAAAACCCGGCACACGAAAGTGCATGGTTAATGGTAGTACAAACTGAACTGAACTGAAACTGACGTTGCCGTGATATTTGCCGCTGATTCAGGAGATAGAATGGAATTTTCTTAACCGGTTTTCAAAAGCAGTGCACAATCCGCGTTCATTGTTCACCGTTGTTTGATTCTGCGCGCCATGTTGGCTGCTCCGCTGGGCAGCGTTCTTGGAGTATTCTGCGCGCCATGTTGGCTGCTCCGCTGGGCAGCGTTCTTGGAGTGCAATTCAATTTTTTGTGTGTGCATCTGCTTGCTGAGTTTGTGTGTATTTGTCACTCAATAGACTGTATGTTGCCAGTTGAATTACCACCGAACTATGTGCATCTTTGCCGGTTTAAGTTGTACCGATAAGCGCTGTGTCCTCGTGATAAATCGGAGTTGAATGATCAAAACAGGATTACACCATGGAGGCAATTGTTCCTCATGTAGGGTAAACTCGCTGATCAATAAATAGTAAGACAATCGTGGGTGGAATACTGTGCCCACGTCTACTGAATATCCATTGAAGCATCCGGTATAAAGCTATCATCCTTCATAGAATTATGGATAACAGTGAGTTATTCTTTCACACCACTCATCTCACTCACAGATGTATTCAGACAATTAAAAAAATGCGACGCGGATGATAAAATATGAAGATGATGCTGATTAAAAAAGAAAGAAGCTTTAGGCCATGGGTTATTGCCATTGACATTGTGGATAGAACGCAATAGTCAATCAGGGAAGTTTTTGTTTGTGGAGTTCACTCCAACTGGACAGAGTTGTGATGGATCCGGTACAATTGACAACGTGTGACGGCCGAAAAACAAATCACTGTGTGGGGGTCCATGGTAGAATGTGATTGGTTGGATTCACATGAAGCTACAACGGATTCATCTAAAGTTGATTAAATGTTTGTTTGTGCACAGACTACGCGAAATAAACAGTAGGCGAGCGAAACGCATTTGATTGAAGAATTTAAAAGTGCTAACAGTAGAATGAGATTGATCAAGCAACTGTTCGGTGATCCTTTTGTTGATGTGCCAACATGTGGCATTGACTTCGGACTTGTACAAATTACAGGTCAGCCAGGGATTCTATAGACTGCCTTGTCAACCCATTGCTTCATGCTAGATCGTTTCGGAATACGCAATGCTTGCTGGTTACGATCACACTTCCGTGGTCTGCATACAGAATCAACAACAACTGGAATTGCGCGAAAAATCAACCACCCGTAAATCAATAATCTGTCCAATTCACTCGTGATTGTATCCCATCTGACAAGATTTTGATCTCAGCCTTGGTTATGCGGTTCGTAGAAGTGACTTCATCTCTCTGAACACAGGAACTAGCTTTTCAGTCACGTTAGGATCAGAAACTTTAAAAGATAGCCATTTTGCACGTTCCAATTCGTTGTTGTCCGTGACATTAGAGATTCCGAATTTTAGGAATAAATGCTGAGGACTCGTTCTATAGGTCAAAGACTGCAATGATGTGGTGCGCTATTCTATAGAATAGTCAGCTTCCCAGTAGAAATATACTGGAGCAACACTGGGAAACACCATCTCCCGTATGATCATCAGAAATGCGGCGCTGTTTAAAGCATCTTCGGTCGGAGATCATCGAATAGCTTGCTCTCAGATAATTGCTGTTTACATCATCAGGATTACTCACCAGTGTGATGGTGAGTCGTGGACACGGGAAATCCACGCTCACACCAAGTGAGTGGTCACGAATACGGAAAAACAAAAGCGCTCTAAGAGGCATTAACTGTTTTACTCAGTCAACACTTTCCAATTTATAAAACACTGCATAAATCTTTCGGCTGCACCGCGATCTGATGTGCCACCAAATAAGGCCACTGTTGGTGACGTGTTTCATGTGGCCATCATGAAACTGTGATAAAATTGAAACGAATTGTACAACGGGCCAGAATAACCCCACTGCCTCAAGGGCTATCATCGTGTGTCTGTGTGTGGGGAGAGGCGGGGTGGGTTAAAACAGTACAGTTGCAACGTTGGACAAAAAGACCGTTAACCTACCTCGTCAGCTGGATTGGGTGACTAAACGAAACTTCCCACTGTACCCAGTGAATCCTTATAGATCCTTACATTATCGCTGATTCCCATCACGTTACGGTGCGATATTCCCGGAAATCAACTTATCCGTCAGATGTTCGCTTGAAAAAATAAGCCAGTGTTCAACTGCAAACCCCTTCACCAGCACGAAATGACCTTCTGTGTTAAAGAACAATATTTGATGTGTGAAGAAATGAATTTATGCATAGGGAACATATGTATAGTGTTGGCAACGAAGAGCGTACAATAGTGTTGGCATCGAGACGTGTGTTTTTCTTATATAAAGCCGCATCCTGATAGCTGGGCGCAACGAAGCTGCGTTAGCGTGCCAACGTTCATCCGGCAAATTGATCGCGTGAAAGGAACAAACAGAATAATACACAGCACACTGTCC